ATATATATATATATATATATAATAATTTATTTTAATTTTATTATATTTTGTCTCTGTGGCATCCTAAAAGTGTTGTACACATGTTTGGACACTCTCAAAATACTTACTAAAGATCTACCATGGAAGATCTTGAATTTAAAGAAGTTGATCTTGGATACGAAGAAAACAATCTTGGTGAAATTATGTTGGTGGAGAAGAAAGGATTAGAGAATGAGAAAATGGGTGGCTACCTCCTAATGATATTAACACTAATTTTAAAACAAAAAAATCACATTATCTCTGTTTAAAAAAATATAAGAATTCAATTGAATAAAAACAAAATATATTAAGACTAAATTAATGGTTAAACTTTTTGTGATCACAATCCAAATATGTAATTCACACCAATATGAATGGACCACTTTAATTAACAAAAATTATTAAACTTAATTAATTCAAAAATAAATATAAAAACCAAACTAATAACGGATCAAATTACTAATTTTGTAATATACATATAAAAGTATATTCTTAAAAAAAAACTTTTTAAATGATATACTTGCTTTTTATATAAAAAAATATTCTTAAATATTGTTTTAATTATTATAAAATTCATGATTTTGATTTTGATATTTATAAGAAAATTCCTATATTTTTCATTTCTATAAAAATAAATATTTTAATTCTTATGAAATTTAGTTTTAGTCTCTTCAAACTATTTTTATTTCTCGAAATTTTGAAATTAATATACTTTTAGTCTTTACAGATAAATTAAGTTCAAAAGTTTATAAATGTATCATATGTTAGCATTATCATCACAAATTAGTAAGCGCCACTTTGAAATAACAACTTTACTCTCTTTTTTTCATTAGCACATAAACACGTAATTAGTATCACATAATAACATGAATGAAAATAATAATTTCCAATTTCGGAAAGAAATTACATAAATCAAAATCAAAACTGGTTAATTTGATTTAGGAAGTAAGAAAAAAATATATAAATAAGCCAAACTGAACTAATCAATGATAAATTTTTCATTTTATTGGAAAAATATGACATGGATTTGAGACAAATTATAAAACACAAACCCAATCACACTAATAAAGCTATATATACATAAAAGGTAAATACATTATTCAATTAAAAAATTTAATTAAGTTTTTTGTATAAGAAGATTGGTCAAATCATTTTTGCATTAGAATGGTTGTTTCTGAAGCCAGCCATCAGTGTCAATGAACTTGGTGCTTGTCATATTCTGAATTGTTTCTAAATCCAACTTCTTGGTCCAACTCACTCTTTGAGAAGTGTCAGAACCAGGCCCAAAGTTCCCATACTTTGCAAATGTTATGCCACTCCTGCAAATTTTTATACCCAAACCATCATATATATAGAAAAAACGTTGTTTTAACAATTTTTTTTACAACTTTTTTACAACGTCTACGTAATACATTTCGAAGAATTCATTTCGAATATTTTTTGAAAATAAATTCAAATAGATCAATAAAATAATAATACATGGTCTATTATCAAAAAATTATTATGAAAAGTTACTAATATTATCAGAGTTCATATATATATATATATATATATATATATAAAGGCTTAAATGCTTACTTCGTTCTCATGTTAAAAGGTGAATTTCTGTTTAGTACCCAATTTTAAAAATAAAGACATTGGGTTCCTATGTTATGAAAAGTGTATGAATAAGGTCCTATCCGTTAAGTTGACAGCAACGACGTTAAGTCCATGCTGATGTGGCCATACTTTTTCTCTTTTCTCTTCTGCTATTCAGTTTTTTTCTCTCTTGCTCAGCTTTTTTTGTTATGATTTGTTGAACTTGTTCTTTCTTTGTGGACCTTATTCATATATTTTTCATAACATAGGGACCCAATGTCTTCATTTTTAAAACCGGATACTAAACATAAATTTACCTTCTAACATGGGGACGAAATAAGCATTTAAGCCATATATAAATAAAAGATGTGTGAGAGAATAGAAGAAAATTGATTATGGCACATTTAAATTTTTTATATTCATTTAACATTATTTTTTATTTATTTTTTTTTTTGAAAAAGTTATGTTTTCATCTTATATTATATCAAATGAATGTAAAAGTCTCTTATAATAACATTATTTGGAATAGAAACATACTCGTTTGGAGCAAATTTCCATGCATCCCAACCAGCAGGTTGTATAACGTTGGAGAAGTTGGTCTTGTAAAACAAAACCCTAGCATGACTTCTCCATGGCCTCCCCAAGTAAGTTGTTCCATTTCCAAAGACATGAGAATCAATGAAAACAAAGCCATTTTCGTCTTGTGAATGTGTTCTCCCTTGTGCTGTGATGAACCCTGGTAACCCAGGATCTAGTGCTCCACCAATCACAGATATGGAACACCTCTGCCAACAACATATTCATCAAACAATTTTTCTACGATATATAACACTTAATTATTAATATTATTGTTACCTCAAATAATGATTGGCCTGCACCGAAGATAAAATCAATGGCACCTTGAATGGTGCAAAGCTTGTAGTAATGTCTTCCTCTGTCGTCCCATAAAGTGTCTTGCAAACCGAAGAAACCAACTCTCAAAAAGTAAGACTTGTCTCCACTCACCATTGCTGCCACAGCAGGCTTAATGGCTTTACTGTTTATTGGGTTGTTGTATGAATTCTGTCATTAAAGACAAAGCTTAAACAAAAAGAAAATATATTTTTAACAATTTTTTTTACGACCCTTTTAAATAACTTATAATTAGTCTATTTCAAATATATAAATTAATAAAATAGTGATATATAATCTATTATAAAAAATTGTTAAAATATCATTATGATGATGAAAAATTCATATCACACTAATATTAATTTAATAAGATAAGTTAACATTTCTAGTTCACCAACTTTTAAATAAATATCATTATTATATAATTTTGTGAAAACAAAAAATTAATCTTTATAATTAAATTTCAATATTTAATTACAATTTTCACTATAACAACTAAAGATGTATCTTTTTCTAAAAGAAAAATCGGCAAACCCTTAGTTATTAACTTTTCTAATAAATAAAAGAAATTAGTTTTTTTTTCTTCGTAAAAAAAGACAAAAGTAGGATTTTCAATTCATAACATCATTGATTCATTGACCTAGGTAAAAGTAAGCAAATATCATAATATTTAATAGACTATTCCATGCCTAATAATATGTATTTATCTCTCTTAAATATACATGAATTGAGCAAATTATCACCAAATATTTGGCTATAATGGCTTAAATAAGGAAAAATATTAAAAAAATCATAAATAACTAAATCAAAATTTAAAGGCACGGGAATAATTTAATTAAGGAAAAGGAAAATAAAGAGGCAATAATATTAATTTAACCTAAAAAGAGAGAAAATGAAAGAGTAGATAGAACATTCTTACCCTAAAGCTCATGGATTTGACAACAACGTTGTCAGCCATGGCTACAAACGTAGGACTCTGTGAGGTATTATCATGGTCATCCCACTCAACAAAAGTTCTTCTCTTTCCCTCTCCTTTCAATATGATGTAAGGCTTATCATAAGGAATCTTCACTTTTTCTCTGAAACAAAAACAACATAAAAGCATTCACATTAATCCAGGGATTCACACAATCAACAAAATTATTAATTATAGTATCATCACACCCTAATTACACCACAAAAATATTCATGTACTAATGCAAGAAATGATGAACATATATATATATATATATATATAGTACGGTGTATTATGCTAACAGTATAACACTGATATTATACATTAATTTGTTAATTTTTTTATATCTTATATATAGTGCTGCTTGTCCATTTTATTTTGTTAGAAAATCTACCAATAAAAAAAAGATAATGCCACTTTATATATATACTGTCTCTTATA